CATGGCGTCCCAGTGTTCCATAAAGAATCGTGACACATCTGATCACAGAACAGTCTTCCATTTTGCCACACTTCATTTTAAATGACCCCTGGCCCAGTGCAAACGTCTGAGCTTGTGGTGCTTGCTTAGAAATGGCTTCCTCTTTGCACTGTAGAGTTTCAGCTGACAACGGCAGATGGCATGGTGGATTGTGTTCACTGACAATGCTTTCTGGAAGTATTCCTGAGCCCATTCTGTTATTTCCTTGACAGTGGCATTCCTGTTTGAGGTGCAGTGACGTTTAAGGGCCCGGAGATCACGAGCATCCAGTAGAGTTTTACGGCGTTGACCCTTACGCACAGCGATTGTTCCAGATTCTCTGAATCTTTTGATGATGTTATGCATGGTTGATGATGATAACTTAAAAGTCTTAGCTATTTCCGCTGGGTAATACCATTCTGGTATTGTTGCACTATCTTTCTGCACAACACTGGTGGAATTGGTGATCCTCTTACCATGTGGGCTTCTGAGAGACACTGACACTCTGAGAAGCTCTTTTTATACCCAGTCATGTTGTCAATTTACCTAATTAGTGTTCATTGGTCTTCCAGCTGTTCGTTATATGCTCAATTTACTTTTTCCAGCCACTTATTGCTACTTGTCCCAACTTTTTGTGGATTTGTTGACACTGAAATTTTGAATCAACATATTTTTCCTTTAAAATGTGCTATATATATATATATATATATAAATACAGTCCATTGACCATTTACGTATAACATATAGGAGGAGATGTATGAGAGCAACAGACCAAGAAGTGATTTAAAGATGAGAATGTACCAGTGGGAGACTCTGTATGAAGTTAATGATGGCCAGTTAACCAGTGAATGCAGGTTGCAGTGGTGGGTACGGTAGTTACAGCCAGTTATGAATCTTAGCGCACCATGATAGACAGCATCCAACATCTGCAGGGTTCTTGTAGGACGTTCATGTAAATAATGTCCCCACAGTCACTGGAGGGATGGAAAGTCACAGTTACAAATTGTTTCCTAGCATTCAGAGTTAAACAGGATCCATTTCTGAAAAAGAAACCCAGTTTAACTTTCAGTTTCTTTACCAAGTTTTCGACATGAAGTTAAAAAAGAGGTGCGTGTCGACAATATAACCAAGTATTTGTAGGAATCGACAAACTCAATAGGAACACCATTCGAAGATAACGTAGATGGAAGGACTGCTGGAACAGACTTTCTGTTTGAAAACAACATTCTTTTGGTTTTGTCAGCATTTAGCACAAGTTTGAGACGGAACATATCTGACTGGATGATGTCAAAAGCAGATTGCAAAAGCTGGAAAACCTTAGCAACTGATTTAGTTCAACAATAAACATCAGCACAGAAATGTAAGGATGTGTCAGAAATTATCTGGCCTACATTACTTATGTAGATTGTAAAGAGGATGGGTCCTAAGACTTAGCCTTGTGGTACATCTTTTTTTTTTTCCTAGATGGCCTCCTTTCTCCCCTTACAGCCATCCTCTCCACACCATTATTATGAAATATTTATTCTAGTGATTATCTAGTGTAGGTTTTTTTTTTTTTTTTTTTTTTTAATAGGATAGAAAGAAAGAAAAGACAAAGTAAGACTCCAAAATATAAGAAATATACACAAAGAGAGCACACGGCAAAACACCCGGCCACTGTCTGTTCACCTGCAAAGAACATGACAAAACACAGCAACAAAATACATATGTATAAAGAACTTAAAATATTCATGGCTTTGCAGTAAGTTTCCATAAATATATATACCCATACCTACGCCTATATACATACATACATACACATGAATATACATTCACATACATATCTATATATCTACATATAAAGCCTACATAAGCATCCCTGCATCTATTTGTCTGTGGTTGTGAGCATGCATAAGTGTATAAGGTTTTTCTAAAAGAACATTTAATAGTAACCGTGAAGCAGCAGAGACCCGACCCCCAAGGCCAGAGGCAGACGAAAAAGGGGGGGACCAGAACCCAAGACCCCAGGAGGGACCCCGACCGCCGAGCCCCCAGAGCCACCCACACAGGACGAACCACTCACCCACCCCCAGATCGGACCACAGGGGAGAACTGGAAGATCCCCACCAGCGACCACATGCAGTGACCCCCCGGGGCCAACAGCAACAAACTCATAGGCCCCCGCCGCACTGATGCAGTTCCAGGCCCGGGCACCGAGGCCCGGGCACCGAGGACTCAAACCACCCAGGCCAAGGCCTGACAGGGCCAGAGGACCCGAGCCCCACCAGGCAGACACCAGGCCGAGCCGACACACGCCCAGGCGCCCAGCCCCCGACACCAAGGGCCCCAAGCGTGCCGGCAGGCAAGGGCACACCCAACCAGGGGGCCGCGCGATAGGGGCGCGATGCCAAGCACTCCCAGTTGTATCAAAGAGGGGGCAGTCCGAGTCTCAGCCTAACAAATACCCATTCATACACAGACACAATCACACAGTCCCAGCCTCATTCTCACACTCACTCACTCAAAGACATACAATAACGATACATTTCATTCTTATTCCCGATACGCACTCTATACCCCCCAGGTCCAAGACATGTACCCGCCCTCTACAGGGGGCAGCCCATGCCCAAACCCAGGAGGTAGACCTATTCATTCTCGAGCGGAGAGGAGCCAATATCCCAGGCCTGGCCCAGGCCATGCCCAGCCGACAGGACACCCCCGGCACGAAGAGGTCACGCCACCGACCACCCCCACACACCGCCAACAACCAAGCACGCGCCCCCAGCCGACCGCCCGCCAGGCCCCAGCAGCCACCCCGGCCAGCGGGCCAACCATGGCACCCAAGAGCCAAGCTCAGGGGATCCAAACAACCCCAGGGAGAGCACAGCGCCAGCACTGCCCACGGCAATCCCCCAGACCCCGAACCCCCACATAGTCCTGGTCAACACCCGACGGCCTGCCCTTCTCCCGGACCCCATCCCTGGAATGGCAGTTAGGGAACCAGGGGGTAGGAAAAAAAAATAAAATAAAGAGAATAAGACCCCGACACATACACCCCCGCCCCTAGATGTGCTGTTGATGTGTGTTGTTGTATAGTGCCATTAAAAAGGAAAGAAAAGAAAATTGAGTCCCAGGTGGCTATGGTCAACAGAGATGTAAAATTGTTGCAGCACACCCGAGCCCAAACAACCCTAAATGTGTGGAACTGAAATGAAGAGGTTGGAGGTGCATGGTGAGGGATGGGGAGAAATATAAGTGTAAGAGCAAATGCTCCCACAGGGAGTCAGCTCCCCCACTGACTCAACAGCCCCCCCCCCCCCACACACACACACAGTTCCCCAAGGTCCACCCAGGGATTGAGGCCAAGACACCTCTCCATCTGGACCGACCGCCAGGCCCGCTGAGCTCCAGACCAGAGAGGGACAGAGCCCCAAAGGCCGCCAGTAGCAGTACCAGCGGCCCACACACCCGAGGGCCGCCAAGACCCCCACAAACCGCAGTCAGCCCACCACCAGATAAAGCCAAACCCCACCATGACGACCCGGCCAAGAGCGCCCGCCCAACCGCCGACAGAGCCAGGAAGCACCGGGAGCGAGCCCCCATCACAGGAAAGGGGCCAGCCAGTCGGCCATGCACAGTCCCGGGCCGCCCCCAAGGACATCCACCCAGTCCCCACCCCAGAAGAAATACTACACCCACCCCTCATTCGGACACCTCTCAAAACACATAGCACACTAGACACCTAGGCTGGGTCAAACTACCCCCTCTTAGGGGCCACTGGTCACGCCCCCAAACACCCAATCGCCCAGCCCATGAACCCACAACCCACCAGCGAGCCGAAGGCCCCTGCCCAGAACCGGGCACCAGAGCGCAAGCCGGCCCAGAGCCCGGCAACCCGCCCGCCAGAGCCCAAGATCCCCGATCCTCACAGGCCCAAGCCCGGGGGCGACAAGCCCCCAGAACCCCAAGCCCCTGCGCCCACCCCGAACCCACCCTAGCACAGCCAGGCTACCAGAACGGTGACCCACGACTGCCGCCACAGACCACCTGAGGGCCCGCATGCAGCCACCAGCAGACATCCCCCAGAACCACCCAGGCCCTCCCCAGGGCGAAAGCAGTGCCCTCCTGCCCAGGTACCTCCAAGAGCCCAGCCCCCGGCAACCCCCCCCCCGGCGCCCCAAACCCATACACCTGCCTCCACATCAACCCCAAGGCCCCACAAGGTCAGATCCCAGACTACCCACCCTCACTATGTAACAGAGCCGATCTAAGGAGCCCAGAGAGATTTATCCGATGTGTCGGCAGATGCTGTTTCAAGACTTATATGATCTAACAGAAGATTTTTATACTGATTAATGCTAAGATTATTTTTATTTTTCCAAATCAGGAGTATGGTTTTCTTTGCGATGCATAAGGCAGTGAAAATCATGCAACATGTATTTTTTTTCCATTTTTTCCATAGTATTGTTGTTTAGTTTTATTGAAATTAAAAATATTTTTTTCTCACCATTATTTTTCCACTATTTGTTTGTCCATAAATTAAGTAATGATTTTTATCAGTGGAAATGTCTTCCAATAATTGGTTAAAGGACTGTACTTATATAGCACCTTTCTATCTTATCGAGACACTCAAAGCTCTTTACAACATAATCTGTGTCCTCATTTACATATTCATACAGAACTCCACTAGATCTATATAAAGATTAATCAGAGCTTTATCACATTCATACACCGATGGGACACACATCGGAGGCAGTGGGGGGTTCAGTGTCTTGCCCAGAGACACTTCGACATGTGACTACTGGTGGAATAGAACCCACAACTCTTGCATTGAGGACAACTGCTCTAACCACTCAGCTACAGCCGACCAGAGTCAACCACCAAATAAGCCTAAATCTGTAATGCTTTAGTTGTTTTTTGTTTGTTTGTTTGTTTGTTCTTTAGGGGGAGGGGGTTGTGGTGTGTCCTCATTTAATCTCAAACCTTTCTTCCTTTGTTTTCAGACTCCAACGAACCCTTCCAGCAGGAAGATCTTTTGTTGCCATGGATACCAAACAGATCCCTCAAATACTGCAACAGATCTTCACATCCACAGTGCTCTCCAGTGCCTGATACAATCACGTGTCTGGCACCTACTAACAGAATCAAAAACTCTTAACCCATTCTCCACATAAGATCATACACGAGGTGTATAGAGTGTGAAGACATGACTCAACAGCCTTTTAGTGTGTCACGAAGTTGTGACAGTATTTTGTTTGCATAACTTTTAGAAGCTTTGTAGTGTCCCCCAGAACAGATGCTGAACAACGCTGTCTCATACACCTGTAATCTTACTTACAATGTTTGTAGAATGACGCACACTGCAGTGGTGCTTGCCTGGAGCTCATCTCAAACCCCATTTAGGGATCAAATACAGCCAAGCCTATTGTTCTTGATTCAGTATTAGTCCAACATTACGCCAAGTCACACACACACACATCTGTTCTATTTTGGCAGCAAGAACATCAGTGGAAAGAGTGAAGAACTTAACAAAGGCTTGCTTAATTTAGATTTCCTACCCGTTTAACATCTGTCACATAAAAAAAAACACTTGCAGGAAGACACAAACTTCTCTGGATTTGCTGAGCACCAATAACTTTGCTCCAGTGGAATGCTGCAACTGTAATCGGGGTATTTCCCACCTGACTGCACACGCTCGTTAAAGGTTGATGCTGTTGCACAACCCCCTGCCATGTATGTCTCTGCGTGTATGTTGTTTTTGTACAGTATCTGAGTCAACATGCACAAGCCCTTTCCTTCCTGGCTGCTAAACTTTGTGATGCCTTGTGCACTCACAGTCCTGCAAACAGTCTCATAACACCTTTCCTTGCCAAACCCCACCCTCCCATTTCTCAATACCAAACACACACAAACACATTTCAAACACCTCAAAGCTACTGTATGAAAAGAACTAAGGCTTAGTGTGTTCATCCAGTGAAGAGGATAAGTGTCCTTAGTCAAGTGTCACATGCACCAAACATAATATTAGTTTTTTTTACTGAATGTCATAGTGCTATTTCACAGAAAACTTAAAGCTGGGACTTATACACCCTCTGACTGCCTCAGTATAATTTCTGAATGCTTCAAGGGAAGTTAAAGCCAACCCACCCTGATCCATCTTTAGGCCACAAAACAAGAAACGGAGCCAGAATGATCGCTATGTAAAAAGGTAAGCCGACTTTTTTGGCTTACCACAAAGTCGGCTCATCTTATAAAGTGATGTTAAACGATCTGTGGGACCACCTGGCTGTAGGAATGAACAACATCATGTTCATTATAGAGAATGACACACAGTAACTCTGCATTTAGTTTAAAAATTGTTCACCGCAATAAGAGTTGGTAAACTGAGTTAATACATTGTTTTTTTAAATCAGTTTTTTTATTGATTTTTTTTTTATTTACATTAATAACACACACACACACACAAAAAAAAAAAAAAACATCCCATACTGGATCAGCTAAACAGACACATATATCAGACAGGTTCTGACACAATTTCAATATAAGCCACAAATGGCTGCCAAGTGTCCCAAAATCTCTCAACAGATCCCTTCACAGTGTATCTGATCGTTTCCAGATGAACATGACACATAACTTTGTAGTGAACTTGACCTGATGTCAAATCAATGACCTTAGGATCATATGGTCAGAAACTGTCATTTCATTGATCTGCATCCAGAAATACAGTTTGACCCATCCTGAGACTTTCCTTCTTGAATTAATCAAGTGGAAAAGACAATTCTCTATGATCATTACTATTTTACAAATGTTTGATAATCAAATTGTGTTAGTTCAGACAATGTTTACATGTTGAAGTGAACTACTCATTTTTATTTACTTAAACAGTAGTAATGATTTTTATTCCTCATTCAAAGAAGAAATCAGGGTAATATGCATTTCTTGATTTTTCTGTCTTCAATGAGCAAATTTGTAAGTGTGTTAAAGTTCGAGCTTCGGTCAACTAAAAAGTTTACTGAAAAGAAATGTCATGTTTAACTTTCACAGCAGATACTAGGAGGAGAGACGCCACTAAGACTGGTTTTCTCCAACAATCTTTCTGTCTGTTCTTAAACAATCCTTGACTTTCCATAACACCTTACATCACAAACCACACCTCTGTTCTGGTCCATCCACGAATCAGAAAGCTCTCAAATGAACCGGAAGTATAGCCGTTTAAATGTGGCAACTTCCCAGTTCAACAGTAGAGTTACAGAGTTCACAAAGAGTTCCAGGAGAGTTCAGAGTTCTTGGAATCCAGAATGCAGAGCGTTCAGGCATTCATGGATGCTACCGGACCAAACAAGCTGAACCAGAGACGATTTTGGGAATTATAACTTCTGTTTGGATAACCTCGCACGACTCTCGAGGTATTTTAGCTGTTCTCAACGGAGACGCTGAAAGTGGCTGGAAGTAGGACTTCACGCCGACCTGATCTATCTTCAGAAAGGTAAAGTCGACCTTCACCCAAAAGTGTACTGTTTGGGACAAGCTGATTTCCCAAGAGCGTGCTGTTCTGGTTAAAACAGATAAATTCCCTCACACATCTCTCTGTAAGATAAATCTCAATTCTCCATCTTCAAACTCTCCTTTCTGCTAGAAAATTAATCCAGATGTTTTCATTAATGTCTGTGGTGAAGCAACGGAAAACCATGGCTGTATGGTTTTCCTGATTGATTAATTATGCTGTTGTTATTTTCATATTTTGCCAAATTAATGTAAATGTTTGATGTTAAACTTTGATTCTGTAAATAAATGACCGCATTCATTTTGATGGGTCAAAGATAAATAACGTCTCTCGTTACATTTCTGTTAAATTCAATGCACGCATGTTACACAGTTCAGAAAAATGAAGAACCCGTTTAATGTATGAATATATCTCAGCATCTGTTCATACTACAACTTCTCTTATCCTGTGTTCATATGCTGAGGGATTCAGATCCTTCCATCTGTATAAAATAAAAGTTTCCTGGCTAGACGAGAGCCAAAAGCAATCATATTCCTCTCGTACCTGCTAAAGGATGCATCCACAGGGGAATGGTGACGGGTACACAGTTTGTCCACATATCCCAGAGAAAGTATCAAAAATGGATTTCCAATAGCCCTGCAGCTTTGGACAAGTCCAGAATGTGTGTAAGAGCGTAGCTGGAGTTTGTTTGCAGCTGTTACAGTCAGGATCCAGGTCAGTTTTAACTAACAGTGATTTATGAACAACCAGAGAGAGTAAGACATTTTATTATTCACACCTCACTGTGGCTAACTGACCAGATGATTAGCACCGCCACACGTCTGCTGATCTGTACTGATCCGTCTCTGATAGAGGAATGTGTCTTTTATTAATCACAGATTTTATTTTGTCTTTCTTCTGAAATGTTCAAAAGAGCCAAAACAAAGATGTTCTGAATATATGTTGGAACTTTTAATGTCATATGAAGTGTTTTTGTTTATAAGCATATTTTGATCTTTATTATAATAATTTCTTTACTTGTGTAAGGTCATTAATTTATGGTGGAAAAAAGAAAATGATTTGCAAAATTTTAATAAAGTCACCCGACCACTTGTCTTTGTCCTGACTCATAAAACTAATTTCTGATGAGCTGGTCCGCCATGCTTTATATTATAAACCACCACCTTCATACCACTCTTA